ATATTTAACTAGAGAATTTGCATTTCTGGTGAAAATGCTGGTGTGAGTTCCTCTTGCTGATAACTCTAGCTGAAGAACAGCTAAGAAACAAAATGATGATGTAACTGATGTGACTGATGACGTCACTGATGACATCATCAGAAAATTGTGAAAATTGAAATTGCTAAAAATTTATAAAGATTTAAGATACCAAAAATCACAGCCGAGGTTTCGTTTCTTGCATTAAGACAGCATTTATTGAAATTACACTTCAAATATTTGGAAATGATAAATACAAAATTNTTATGCAAGTTTTGCTTTACAAAAAAGCAAAAGGCAATGGTAGTTGGTACTCCCATGTATGGGACGGGGTTCAAATCCCTGTGTTGCCTTGCTATTTGTGCTGACAATGAAGGTAAAACTAATTCAAAAATAAAGTTTTGAACTTAAGAAACTGATTACACACTTTATTTAAAAGCTACAACTATATTTACATGCAGCCTAAATTTAGACTCTTATAATGTAGTATACAAGAGTAACAACTTTGACATATAATGGAATAGATACCAATTTCTTTATTGAGTATGACAGATCTGCAAGGTCGATTTACTGATTTTAAATCTTGGCTAGTGAAGCTAATATCACCGGTAATACCAAAGCACAAATTTTCCAAAATACATACAAAATGAATTATAAATCAGTCATTTCTTGACCTTTAAAGATAAAATTTGCTAAAGCAGTTGCCTAAACCTCAAACAGATGCTAAATACATCTTAAGGACATGCAACTTTTAAAAAAGGAAATACAGCTGTGAAATCATCACGGCGTATTGTGAACTTGGTTCATGATCACAGTAAAGGCTGGAATAAAATGGTGTTTTTTTATTGAAGCTGTCAAAATAGCTTGTATATGTACAAGCTTAAATAATGTCCATTAACATGAAGTTGCTAGCCAAGATCTGTCAAACTGCTCGAAACTCAGGGTAGGAGCTGTAAGTGTAGGGCACATCAATAATTGCTCCACGTGTGTGCTATAGGTCTTCTACCAAAACCTGTTTCAGCATTAAAAGTTACCTTAATTCCCTCTGTGCAGAAAACAAAGACCCTGTGCAAAATCACAAGGATTTTTCCAGCTTGCGCTGATTTGCATTCTTAATGTATCTCTGCAAGTAATTCAGTGTTGTTTGCTCCTTCATTGACAGGGGCAGATCTGTTTGCAGCATGTCAACAACTTTTTTGTTTGTTGCTTTTTTGGACTCATATAAATGCAGGATATTGGTTGTGTTTGGCAGATTTAATGTCACATCTTTTAGAGTTTTGGAAAAGCAGTCTGTTATATACTTTGGTTCTTGTAATATGGCTTTATGAGCCATGAGTTTGATTGCTGGTTTTACATTTTCCTGAGATGGAATGCTGTGAGCACCCACCCGTGAAAACAAATCCAACAGATTTTCTTTGTCATCCTCGTCCAGTACACCATCGAGGGCCTTTTCAATGGTAATTCGCTCGCTGTCAGACAAATACCTTGTAAATGATGACATCAACACTTCCTCTTCAACTGAGTGAAGGCCAAGTKGAGAGGCAACAATGAATGCCTTGGACAACCTGACTGGAATCACTCCATGGTCAATCAGTCCTTTTGCCCATATTCTTCCAGTGCATGCCACCGATCTTCTGAAAAGTCTGGTCTTAGTTTTGGAACGCTCCCCTCCTCCATACCCGTAAGCTTCCTCATGCTGCTGAAATGATCTGCTCACAGACTAGACGCCAACTGTTAAATTAACAAGATGGACTTAAGAGCGAGAAACCGTCCATATCTTGTTTTCATCTCCACACAGTTAACAAAACAAGTTTTTCAGACTCCGATCTGGGTAAAGATAAAATATAAATATGGTTGTTTCACTATGTGCGCGCATGTGTGTGTGTACAGGTTTTTGCACCATGATTAGGGCTGTGTATTGGCAAGAATTTGGCGATACGATACATATGACAGAGTGGTCACGATACGATATATCCCGATATATTGCGATACTATAAGCAAGGCGATATATTGTGATTTTTTTGTCCGAAAATTCTATTAAATAAAAACCTCTTACAGGGGGAACAAATGCAAAACCAAAATTCATTGTCTCAGAAAATTCTAATATTACACAGACATACTTTTGATACATTTAGCTGTGTTCTGCTTTGTATGTGTTTTATTTTATTTGTTTCATATTTCTTATTTCATCCATGTTTTCAATTATTAGACTAAATTTTGCCAATAAACAGTTTGAAAATATATTTTTTGCAGCTTTTAGTTTTTAATATTAATTTACAAAATGGTCACCCAACACTTAACAATAGCCTCTACCTCAAGAGGTAGAGGAGCCAAATGGCTGGCTCACTGCTGCCAACTAGCCGTTCATTTTTATGTTGTCGTTCAGCCTCTGACCACTAGTTGGCAGCAGTGAGCCAGCCTGGCTCACTGCTGCCAACTAGTGGTCAGAGGCTGAACGACAACATAAAAATGAACAGCTGGCAGGAAAGTTAACATTTTAAACCTTAATAAAAAATCGATACAGGGCTTTAGAATATCGATACAGTATCGGGAAATGAAATATCACGATATTTCAGTGTAGATATTTTCTTACACCCCTAACCATGATGGGTACAATTATTGACCATTTCCCTAGTACACACAGCCTGGTGAGGTTAAGGTTTGGGTCAGGTGTGTAGCCTACCTGGGAGGTTACGACTTTATTTTTTCTCATTTATTTCTGCTGAACAATATTACTAGATTTTAGTGATGCCTGACGATGCAAATGTGCATTATCTTAAGTTAATGAAAACCAAATTTCAAAAGATGTGCACACAAAACTGCAGCTAGGACTGTCATTTAGCATTTATGGGGAGAAGAAAAATGGCATTATTACATACATACATACATCATTTGGTATGATAAAACAAAAGCCAGAAAAAATAGGTTACAGTTATAGAATCATGAATACAGTAAAATGAATATTCCATATATTAAAGAAATTTGTTTGCTTTATTACTGTGCAAAACAACATATACAAATCTATTAATGTGTAAGAAGTACAGTATCAGCAAATGGGGCCCACACAGTGACACAATACTAGTTATAAATGTAATCAGATGACAAAACAACATTCCTATAAATACTTTTCTTCTGCCAATAAATTTAAAACATCAAACCTAACCAAGACAGGTTGATGGCTTTACATGAAGCATGTTTTATTTGCTGGTGGTTTGGATCCTACCGACTAATATGAGCTCTTGCACAAAAACAGCAAGAATATCATTTCAGATTTTCAGATTGAAAATTATACTATAAATATTTTATAAGAGGCCCTTTCTTGGTAAAAAAAAAAAAAAAAAGGATAAAAAACATTATTATTTGACAATGAAAGACTAATTTGATTGACAAGAATTTGTTTTACCATATAGAAAAATAAGGCAACAGCTCTTAAGTGGGTGGATTCAATAGTCTTTGTCGAAAGCCTGCAGGCCAGGCTCATGGTCAAACCCACCCTCTTTCATTCATCAGTGTCAACACAAGACTTGTCGTATCGCAAATAAGAAAGATTTAAAAAAAAAAAAGGCTGTTAAGCCTCGTTGCTTTTATCTCACTACATTTTAACTTTATCGTGAGGAGAACTAAAAAAATTAAGATGCAATTGCAAAATAAAATAAAACCTAAAATGAGTCCAGCTTTGAACCATTTCACACATTTTTAATGTGTGTTATTTCCTACATTTCCCAGAATGCCTTTGGCCAAAAGGTGTGGAATCCTGCTAGTTTTCAGTGTCAGAAAGTCATTTGTTTTGATATTGAAAAAAAATTTAAACATAAAGTCTACACAATGTATCAAATACGTATCAATATGTCAATTCAGTGAACACTGATATTGCAAATTTTTTTTTAATAAATCGCAAACTGCATGAGAAATATATCTGACTTAAAATCCAACTGCAGAAGGTGAAGGTGTCGCAATATTCAAATATCAATATTTACCCATTTTATTTCAGATCTTTTAAATGTCACTGCAGCTGCGCTAAAAATGACATCGTTTCTGTAAAAAAAATGAAAAAATAAGATTCTCAAAAAAATACAGAAGTACAGCAAAACGTATCAAAGAGCTGTTTGTCAATAATGTTTGCAGGCGAATTTTACTCTTAAATCTGGACTGAACGGAGCCGTAATTTACTCGAGGATAACAATTTGAACAAAACCTGTTTCCAACCTATGAGTACCGCTTAGGGAGGAAAAATAATAATAAATGGAAAAAGCCAAAGAGCTTTCCATCTATCGCTGAAACGCGAATCTCTCAAACGCAGTAAAAGATTCAAGATTTGTGCGTAGCTAAGAAAGCGAGGAACAAATCCCACACTTGTGATGCTACCAGCTTTTAAAGCACCATTAACAGTGACTGATTCCTTTTGTTTGTTTGTTTGTTTCTGTCTTTTATTTTGGAAGACAGTCATGGTCCTCTAAACTCTGGTGTCAGCTGAACATTTGTTGATAGGAAAGTGCAAATATGTTGCATTCTAGCTTTAAATTGCCCCTAAAAACCAAGATCTAAAAGCTACTTTTTCATGGGTTATTATGAGCAAATTAGTGTCAGGGTTTGGGGAAGGCTTGGCCTCTCTAACCCAATCCTGGTGGATCGAGGGCAAAGAAAATACACGAAATATGTAATTATGTTGTCTTGCAAAAGGGTCTTTGCACTATAGACTACACATCGAACATGTAAAGTGCTCTCCAATTATTTCCAAATTTTTCATAACTCTAGATTACAGCCCTAGCTGTAATTTATGTATTCTTAAGAATTACTTTTCAATAACACTGTTGTGATTTAAAAAAACAAAAACTCTGAAATGACATTTAAGGATCAAGTGCTTCTGAATCCAGACAAATAGTGTGCCACCTGACAAAACAAGGGCATAATTAAGTGGACAAAAAAACTAATTTAAAAGTCAAAGAATCCGCAGCACAGAGATGTCGTTTCAAAGACTCATCGAGCGTGTTTCGCACGTAAACCTTTTCCAAAATCTGTTTCCAGGACCGGAACATAAAGAAATCCACTTCCCGAGCTGTGTCCATAGGTGAGGGTCCATGGCTACTGACCTCCGCAAAAAATGTCTTCGAAACATTCATCCTTTCATCCATTCACTCGTATGAGTTTGACCATGAGGTCAAAGTCACTGAGGACGCCCGAATAAAGGGTTGATTTGATGCTGAGAGGGTGAGGGCTCTGGCCCCTGTGAAGCAGTGAGAGCTGGAACTGGAAGCCTCACTGGTGTGTGTGCTTTTTTTTCCCATTTTGTCGTCTTTTATTGCTGAACGCCGATTTGCTTGGAGCTGAGGTGATGGGGGGAGGGGGTCGAGTGGCGTTAGCTCGCGGGCCCGTGTTGCTTGAGGACTGTGTAGACGTTATCCACTTTGCTCAGCCTCTCGAAGAACGGTATGAGGTCCAGCAGCTCCGTGTCAGACATGTCGTCAAACCATGAGGCCACAGGCACCTTAAAGGAAAAAAAAAAAGAAAGGAAAAGTCAGCGACCACACCAACAGTAACAGTCCTTTCTTTTTGATCGCCAACACTCACTGCGTTGTCGGGGTGGAAGATGTAGGAAGCAGGCGAATTGTCCACAATGATGACTTTGTTGAGATCGCGACCAAGGCGACTCAGGTCCTTGACATAATTGCCTCGGTGGAAGACGCAAGACTCCCTGAAGAGGCGGCAGCGAAACGCTCCCCACTTGTCCAGAAGATCAGAGACAGGGTCTGCGTACTGACACAAAGAAAAAACAAACTTAACACAAGGATTAGGAATTCTTTTGTATTACGACACACCTGACAAAACAACAAAACAAGCCAAAAGTGCAGATGTTCACCAGTAACACAGTAGAACAGCTGAAGTTCTAACGCCTCATTTCAGTCATCAATAGGATTGGGTACCGAAACTCGGTTCCAGTATGGCACCGGGGCGAAGATCAACGGTAGTACACAGACCGAAACACAACTCTCTTTTCGGTGCTTTATTTCAGTGCCTCAAAGAAAGCTGTTAAATTGTGCCCCCTGGTGTTCACTGTTAACAGTGACAGCCTCAGCACACAATCTCCACAGAGTGCCAACAACAATAGTGGTGAGTTATGAACTTTTAATGTGTTTTAACTGTTTAATTTAGCTGTTTCTGTCCGCTGTGTCGGACTATGTGTGGTAGAGAGAACAGCTGTGTGTTAAGTTTCACTTCGAACGGGAGCGCAGCGAACGTCATGTTTTTTACTTTCAGTTTCAAACCGCACTGTAATTAGCGTGTCCAAGTTGTTTTTCTTTTTAAAAATGCTGGAACTGCTCACAGGAGGTATAGAAGAACACCTGTATTGCTCTCCCAGCTGGATTAAAATAAAAAGCTCTCGGTCCTTTCTCGCAGTTACGTTAGAGCTGCCGCCGTGCAGCAGGCAGACGCTGCTCAGATCACGTTTGTTCTGACCGCAGTATGAAAGTCGTGATGCAGGTTTTCTTCAGTGTACATTTCAAACTGTGCTCTAAACTTAACTTCAGCTGGTTTAAATACATTTTTTGCCCGGTGTAAAAAAACGGGTGCAGACTGAGGCAGACTATGAGCGCTGCGTTTGTGTGTGAAGTCCTCACAAAGATAGCAAGATGTATGTGGGTGTCTCCTTTTTCTCTGAGTTGCTCTGACAGTTTTATTCAGGCCTGTTGCTGTTTTTGCATCAAAAATGCTAGGATATTAAAACAGTCATTTTATTTTATGTAAAAAATATATATTAATCTGATTAATATACAAATAAAAACTGAATATTTAGCACTAGATAAAATAAATCATGAATTTATTTATTTATTTATGTTTTCTAGTTTTAAGTTAACATGTTGGTCAGTTTCAAGTTTGAGTTTGCCTCAGAAATAATCATTGCTTCATAAACCTCTGTGTGACTGTGTGTGTTTTATTTATTTATTTTTAAAGTACCCATTTAAATACCGTTTAGGAACCGGTACTGTTTTGAAAGTATTGATTTAGCACCGGTATCGAAATAAAACCTTTCAATACCCAACCCTAGTCATCAAGCACGGTGGTAAAGGGATGATTTGGTCTCGTTTAGCAGCCATAGGAGCAAACGGTTTCATCTGACAGGACAATGACAGAAAACAGAAGAGTGGTTTGGTGTGGTGAATGGGGATGGGGAAAGAGCCCATGTGAGTGGGGGCCTCATATGGGGACCATACCTCTCCCCAAAAAGACACTGAGCTTTAATCAAACCTTCAATACACAAAGTTAGAAACTGTGTTTTGAGCTTCTAGGGATCCCCAAGAGTTCTTTTCCTTTGACCATTCAGAGCCAAGCAGTGGCCTAAGTAGTGCAAAGAAGTCTCTAATTCAATGCCACATGCATCACACGGACCACTGTCATTGAGTCCATCATCATTTTGTGGTGGTTGAGCAGGTTGTGCCCAGTTAGGAATCCAACCAGTGTAGGTAAAGTTGTCCTTGTCAGGGTGATGAGCTTTCCTAAACATAGGATTTGGGCAATTTATCAGTTCCCATGCCTGTTTACAGTCTGTCAGCTCCCTCCAGTGGATTGAGTGTTGACGCCTAATCCAGGCCTGTAGGGCAGTCCTAAAGACTGAGGTACCTACAACAGGCTCTGGTCCTTTGAAATGGGCCTGACTGCTCATTTCAGTTACATAACGTAACTTTACTACAAAATGAGTGAAAAACAAAAGAATTGAGGATTTCATTAGACTAATTATTCACATTTTTGTGATGTTTTAAGCTTCAAAATAAAATCAAGTTGGCAGCCATATTGGACACCATCTTGAATTTCTCAAAAAGCCCCAATGTAGATTCTTAGGGACTTTTACTGTTATTTTGGACAGATTTCTGAACATATCATGAAAGTTTGAGCTTGACCAAAATACTCCAGGACTATACAAACGATTACTTCATGTGACTGGTTACAGAACAAGGTTCTTCCCACTGTTTCAGTATTTACATTACATTTACATTTTTTTGGCTAAATAAATGACTAATACATTGTGTTGTTTGAGAGTTTTTATATCTTTAACTTCCACATCATGTCATCAGTTATCATGATGTTTTCTTTTTTTTAACCAGGCAAATCCCACAGAGCTCACAAATCTCTTTTGCAAGAAAAGCCTGGGCCTGAGGACAACTTAATGTTTTTGGTCTGTGGGAGGAAAGCAGTGTACCCAGAGAAAACCCACACATGCATGAGGAGAACATGCAAACTCCACACAGAAAAACCTCAGGGCCTACAGGCTACTTTCCTGAAGACAAACCTTTTCACTGATCTTAAAGAGTTTTTTTCACTGCCTGCAATCTAAACTTAAAGAAAAAAAAGGTTGCAAAGCACAGTCTATAGCCTGACACAGAAAAACATTACTACTTCCTTGTAATACTTAAAGTTACGAAACAGAGTCACGTTTACAAGCGCGTTGCATCGTCTTTTATCAGTTAGAAATATTTCCTGCTCCTGCTTGACATAACTTCAGATGTTTAGCAGTCTTCCATGGCCAAAACAGTAAAAACAATCTGGACTGTGTGCAACGACTCTTTCCATCACAATGTAAAGTCACCATTTGTTGTGGACTTATCTTCTCTGTGCTCATTAGCTTCCCATTACCTTAGCTAAACTGGCAGTAAACAGGACACACTCGAACAGCTCTCCCATCCTCTTCAGGAACTCGTCGACATGTGGCCGCTTCAGGACATACACCTGGAACACACAGGAATCTTTAAACCCAGTTCATTCACCTGCTTTTCCTAAACTCAACATGTTTCTGCAGGTCGTACGCACCTCGGGAAATATTTTTTGTTAGCATAAACAGTGCCAAGGTACTATTTAATTCATGCATGCGTTTAGGCACGCTAAACGGACGACGCATTTCAAGAATTGTGGCATAAATTACAAAACTAAAAACATTTGTCTCATTGTGATTTATTTTTCTCCCCTTTCTTCTTCTTGATGTGTTGGCGTTTGAGGGCAGCGTTCCTGAACCAAGTCATCCGGAACAGGCTGTGCTTGTCTGAAAAAACCTATCCTGGATTACTTGAATCAGGCCCAGACCCAAAGGTATGTCATCTGACTCCGAGCCTTCATCCTCAGAGATCTTCAGATTCAGACAGCACCAGTGATTTTATACGAACATCAGAAACTGTCACTATAATGACGAGGAAAACACATGACAGTAGCATTACCTGATGTACTGTTCCATCGATTTCCACAGGAATGATGAAATCTGCATTGTTCACAGGCTGGTTTAAAAAAGAAAGGACAGCACATATAAACATCATTTTATGGGTGTTTCCAAAAAAGATTGCCCACCAGCATACATAAAATAAAAACAATTAAAAAGTTTTGTGTTCATTGCCTCGTGCAATTCCTGTCAAAGTACAAAAGCATCTACTAAAATTAGCAACAGAGTAATTTCACGGTTAGAAATTGGCTTCACCAATCATCAGGTTACAAACCAAACCTGCCATCGTTTCCCTAAGAATGACCCAAAACGGAGTATGTTACATGGTAATTTTTTAGGGAAAAAACTATTTTCTTTTATTCATTCTTTTTTACAAGTAGCTTTATTGTATTTATTAAATTGTCACTGTCACCTGAATTGATTCCCACTAACCTGTGAAGCATTTTAGTCCACCTTGTTAATTATAAATGTGTTATAAATGTGTGGTGGAAATAAATTTGAAGTTGAACTGAACACCCTGGAGTCAGTTTAAGGCATGGGCTGGTATGAGGTTCTGACAGTAATATAACCTTGAACAAAAATGTTGTGCTAAAATATATTGGTTTAACACTGAATAAAATATTAATTTATAGTTATTTTAATGCACAGATATAATAGGTTGCAGATAATGGACATATTTATTTCAGGTGTGCATTCCACTAAATTAAAATAGTCAACTTGTGGAAAAAATACCATAAAAGTATATATTTCTGGTTGTGTGGACTGTACCCTTGAAGTGAACTACTAAAAATTATTAGGTTATTCTTCTACAAAAACTACTAGAAACATATATTTACCAGTGTTCCCCAGCAAAAACTAATGATAAAACTTGTTTGCCAGTATTTTTTAACAGTTTTTGAGCAGTTTATTTCAAATCTATGGTCCACAAACTAAGCTACTAAGTCAGAAACAAGTTGCTTCCAATAACCCAGTAAATGTGGTAAGGCTCAGATGTCCCAGCTTTTCACCTGCCTTGAACGCAGCATTCATTACAAGTGATTCTGCAGCAGCAAGAAAGTCTTAAAAGTCACATGCAAGGTGACCATGTGTGTGTAAATTTTCTGCATGCTCAAATTTTTGGTGACTAATTTATCTCCATAGAATGATGACTCAGAACAGGTAAGAGAGAAAGGAAAGAACAAGCAAAAATTATGTTTCTGGTATTTTATTAAAATGACATTTAAACCATAGGATTCAGGTGATGGTAGCATGCCTTGAAATCGGTTAACCTAGTCCAGATGTATGGCGAAGCTTCCAGTAGAGGGCCATCAGATACTTCTTACTTTCTTAATAGACACTTCATTAAAAGAAGTTGTGAATCATTAACGCTTTAACAAAAGGGTTTCTTTTCTTGAGGAATGAGAAAGACATATTTACTGTCAATCTTCTTCAAAGAGATTCAACTGAACGCCCTGGATTTTCTACGCTCCATCAGACTTCATGTACCCAGTCCTCTGCAGATATTTCATTCATAAACTCTCAAATTAAACAGGAAACGAGGCAAAAATGTTCCAAAGTCCTTGATAACCAAACTGGCTGTTTGGAATGTAATCAAAAGAGTTTTTTTGGGGGCAAAAGCCATCGAAATGGATTGTAGCAACTGCTACAAGTCTGCTATCCAGAGGGTGATGACCGCTGTTTCACAACACACTTCAATTCTTTTCATTGTTCGAAGAGAATCCCTCCTCCTGTTTCATAAACACCTGCCTTAAAATTCTTGGCCTGGCACAAGTTTGACAACTCTTCACATCAGTGAGGTATGCAAGAGGAGAAGCTATTTTTGAGACTCAACAGTAAAGAGTTTAAAGTGAAAGAGACATGTTTTTTATTTGTAACTTTTACTCCAGAACAAAATATTAAACCAAAGACTGGAACTACATTTGTACCCTTGACTTGACCTAGGATGACACAAACACACTTGACTCTTGCCCATGACAAGGAAAGGTCTGACCTTCCAAAGAACTATGTAAACTAGCTAACCCTGCCTCAGCTGGCTGCACGTTTCACTGTAAGAATTTATGAATTAAGTAGTTGCAGAAGTTCCTGAAGATAGGAACTCCAGAATGTTTATTCGGCTGTATCTCTTAAAAGAACATCAATGGCTCGTTGTCTTTCCTACCTATTTTACAGTATACTGTGGTACCTTGATTTATGAGTGTCTCAACTACAAAGATTTTTTTTGGGATAAAAGCAGTCTCGTAAACAATTTTTTGCTTTGAGTTGAGAGCTAAAACTCGAGTTACGGGCTAGCTTCAGACACAAAACATCTACCCAGCATCCCGTGTCTCACTAGTAAGTGGTTAGCTAGCCTTTTACAACCATGGGTTCGAAGAAAGTAAGTGCAAAAGATGTTAAAATTGTCAGATCCCCAAGGTAAATACTGTAAATTATGTACTTACTTAAAAAAAACAGGGTATTGAGGTACATTCTATTGTATTGTAAGAAATAAGTGTTTAATATCGGCTGAAATCAGATGAAAACACAAGTGTTAAATAAAATGATCTGTGATATGAAATAAATGTCATATAACACCAGAATTCTGGAGAGAGATGAATGAGGTTTATTTGCCACCGGACTGACAAACCAAACCACACTGAATGAAAGACAGGAAGTTCCCTTTTATATACAGTACACGATTCTTCAATGCCTGAGTTCGCCCTCTGCTGACCTACGGCTGAATCACAGGCATTCAGACAAAGACCGCAATCTAATGGTTTAAAAAACAGTTACATATGTGTTGTTATATAATTCGGACATGTAGCTACTCTATTTCAATTAACACATAATAGATCAAACATTATAAAAGTGTTATAAAAAGAAAACCCTAATACTCTGGTGTTTCTGATATCAGTACTAATC